GAACCAGAAAAACGTTACTCGGCAAAGGCTTATCTTTGTCTTGTAAAGAAATATAGATTGCTTGGGAGTGTTATCATCCACCGCAACTGCTGTGAAGCCAGAATCTCTGCTGATAACACCTCAACTTTAATATCAGGAGAAGTTTTCTAAGCCGTCAAGAAAATTTAAAAAAAAAGGAGGGGGGGGGGGTGCAGTAAATTTGCTCAGCTTCCTTTCAGTATGGTCAATTTATATTGTGTGGTGAAAATACAAACAAATACCAAAAAAAAAAAAAAAACAATATCCAAAAGCTATATACCACCTGATCTGAAGACCAAAACTCACAAGACAGTAACTCCCCTGCTATTTGCGTGGAATTGGGACCAACTAGTGTCCCAGCGGAACTTAGCAAACATTGACCCTCTCCTCCAAAAAGGTTTAGAAATGCCTATAATAGTTCAAAACATAAATTATACCCAAAACTATGATCCCGTAACAGTTTAATTTCATCAATCTCATCTCGTAACCTGAAACCTAAATGGCTTGCAGATTATTTAAATGCACCTAAAGTGCGCGTGTAAATACAGCGACAAACACACTCTGAATTTCTCCTGCTTTCCAGGCTAAACTTAGCTCCCGACATACAAAACTCGTCTCTCAGTCAAGATGGGTCACTTCAACTTAGCAGAGTTTTTTTAAGAATCAATGGATGCACGGATACTTTCCTATCCTTCCAGCAGCTGGCTCAAACATGGAGTCTCATATGTCGCTTAAATAGAAAATGAGAACTCAGAAATCAGAACTTGCAAGATACCCAAAACAAGAGCCCGGTACAGCTGAGCTATACCACTGACAAGCCAACAAAGAGCAAATAAATATGTGCCGTGGATAGTGTGAATTTTAGGGCAACATAAACGTAACGTTTCACTCACATTGCAATGTCTTAACCATGCGGCTGCCGAGGCGCTGTTACTCACAGGTTAAAAAAAAAAAAGTCACTTTCTTATTTGAAATGTGCATCTGCCAGTGTCATTTCCTAGAAAATTAGGGTTCAGTGTTACTTGAAAATTGGTCTGAAACTCAGATTGTTGTCCAGCCTTTTTTTTTTCCAGGCAACAAAACACAGTTTCAACTAAAATACAGACCTGATGTGTTTTCGTCTTTTTAGTGGATATTTAAATGACGGGTGTTCTTTTTTTATGTGAACTGTTTCAAGAGTTAGATGTGTGTTTAAAAAGTAATTTATGATTTTGTGTTTTGAAAGAAACATTTATTCTTGTTGATGCATTTTGGCCTTTAATACAGTGTTTCCCAATATTTGCTGTTTTGTGTACTCCCAAATTCTTTCATCATGCTGTGAGTATCCCCTAACCCATACAGGGTGATGATTTTTCAAAAGTGGAACGTAACACAACTGATCATGATATGAAAATCTATTTAGTTTGTCTTGTTAGATAATAGCATTTATTTGTCAGCCGGTGTCTTCTTTTTAACTCAAACAAAAAATAAATACATTATATAAATTTTAAAAATATGAAATCAAACTAAATAATAATCATGCCTTTCTTATACTATATACAACTCTTACAATATGTATCACAAAAAAACAGGCGTTCACTGGAATAAGTCCCCTGTAAGGAAGCACTTAAACTTCAATTATCAGGAAGAAAACACTTCCCCAGGGAAACACGTTTTAGTGCGCACATATCATTTTATTGACGGACTTATGAAATGACTGAGAATAATTACTTATCATCTTGGAAATAAAATATTACGTCACCGTGTACTCCTTTGCAATGTGGCCGCGTGCCCATAAGCTTGCATACCTCCTGAGATACGTGTACCTCTTGTTGGGAAACCAGAATAGGATCAACAGAGTGTCATTCAGATATTTTTTTTAATGGAAAAGAAAATATATTTGGGAAACCACAAATGTTTGTGAAAAGGTATTTTTGACAGGTCCGCTATGCATTGGCATGGTCACCAAATGTTTAGCACATCAACCTCATAGTTCAGAGGTTGGGGGTTCAAAACCGGCCTCCAGCCCTCCTGTGTGGAGTTTGCATGTTCTCCCCATGCCTGAGTAAATTTTCTCCGAGCACCTCCCACATTCCAAAAACATGCATGGTATGTTAATTGTAAACACAAAATTGTCCGAAGGTGACGGTTTGACTGTGAATGGTTGTTGTGCTGTGCAATTGGTTGGCGACCAATTTAGGAAACCCTCCTCTTGCCCAAAGTCGGCTGGGATAAACTCCGGCACAGACCATGTGTAAAATGAATTACTAATTCAAAAGATACATTAGATCATACAGTATTTCCATTGCTTATACTGCTTCAGTAATTCAGATAAATAAATGTATAATACAAACATAAAGGACCGTTGTAATATTTTTGTATATCTATTGTATGAGCAGTGACAGTTGCAGTAGACATTCTTATGTTGTTTAATAACAGGTTCCCTTGTGTCTCTTTTCTCCTCTGGAAGAAAAGATGAACAGTATGCATAATTCTGATTCAGATTGTTTGTAGAGTCTGCCTGATAAGATTATTTTTCATTTTGCATTCCCTGCACAATCTTTCAACTTTAAATTATGTCCAAATTTTGCTTTGTTTTTTGATGCTCATTTTTTTTCTTTCACCTGCTGCGTGTAGTCACCACAAAGCTATCCCACCTCATGCTCATCTTCCCCCTTCTGCTAAGAGGGGAGGGACAGACATCGCCACACATTTTGACGAAAATGCATATGGGCTGAACAGGAAAAGAAGAGCAGCAACAACAAATTTTCCTCCAATCAAGAGACGGCTCCCATTGTTAACTATAAAGAGAATGCTCTTTATACTATCAGAACCTGATCATTCGCAACCAACACATCAATAGTAGTAGCTAATGTAAATTCCTTAAGATGGAAGAACATCTGCTCCAAGTCTGGCCTTACTCCAAATTTTGTCTCATGGGTGTACGTACCTCTGAATAATTTGTCCAAAACTCATTTGTAATTCCCCCCAGACACTCCTGAAAAAAAAAAAAATCTTTCGGCAGTGACTATTTAATAATAAAATAAAAATAAAAGAAGAAATAAATCTCCAACAAATAGTTGTTTTGAAAATTTGCACTGCACAATTTCTGTGCTGGTGGATGACCTTCAACTCTCGTTGACTACTAAAAGCCAAGTTTCAATTTCCTTGGTTCTGGAAACCTGATCCAACATGCAGTAGCCACGGGCACTGTATGATATTTCCCCTTAATTTTGAGCAGCTAAAACTCATGTGTTACAAATCTTTTTGCCACAACCTATATAATTAGCTGAAATTGACTTGCCTTGAAATGTGTTTCTTCTGGGACATCTGGCCTGAAAACTCCAACTTCCCCAAAAGACATAGTACTGGCTTTCAAATGTACTTTGCAAACTTGCATGAATGGCAAAGGTTTCACCAAGCAATTCACCAAAAATACAGAAAGGTGTGAGAAGTCAAAGCTGTTACAACCAAATAAAATGAAATAAACCTTTCTTGTCTGACAAATATTTAATGATGCTATAAAAAGCAGAATTCAAAATGACATGTTCATTTCCAACAATATAGATCATTCTTCTGTCACTTGGGCTACAATCACATTGCAGGGCATGATGCCCATTTTTTTTTTGTTCAATCCAATCTTTTGATTTAGTCATTCACCTTACAAAAACAAAAAGCAGCTTTAAAGTGAGACATATGCGCACAAAACATGACGTCACACGGCACAGCGTTTATGGAAGTAACGAAGGCCACGCAAGTCGGTCCCAGTCCTGTCACATTTGTGGCCAATTCAAGAAAATTGTGCCTGAGATTTGTATAAACATGTAGCGATTTCAAGCAAGCTGTAAGCTCCCTTGATTCACCAGCTTTGGAGAGATACAGACCCGTTATGCCGGTCTCATACTCAAAACAGATATCTGGTGTGGGTCGCCAATCTCTTAAGTTCCTGATTGGCGTAACGAATGTTCCCTGAACCAACTGTGCATAAACAATGAGGCAGTACAAAAAGAGCACTGATGTGCATGGTTGCCCCGGCTAGGGTTAATTAATGCTACATGGCTATTATTCACGCTACTATAAACTGCTGCGCCTCATTAATAAATCAGAAAGAATTCCATGTGCCTAAGAACCAATGAGACACCCACATGTGAACCAAACTGTTTAAAAGGGTTTCAAAAGCCATTCTGTGCTTAGTGTTGGTGTGTATGTGAGTGAGTGAACAGGTTGACTAACAGAAGAGGCGACGAAGCAGCATGAGTGAATGTTGATGACGTATGTAAAACACGCACGTAAATAAACATGAAAAAACGATTGTGTACAAAAAACTTTTTGTTTTCTAATGGAGAGATAATTCGGTGTAATCATTATCATGACAGGCCTACGATACTCTTTACTCTAATAATTAGGATTTTTTTTCATATACTAAATTTTAAGAGCATACCCACCATGGTGTTGATGTGCATGCATATTTAATAAAAAAAACCTGTAACAGACAAAAACTGAAATACAATCTCTGAATTTGGGAAATCACAAGTCCAAATTAAGGTCCGAATGAGTTGGGAACTATCCAAGATGACTTTGGGCAAGAGGTGGGGTACACCCTGGACCAGTCACTAGCCAATCGCAGACCACATATACTAACCATTCTCTCAAATTCACACATACGGAGAAGGCTTCAGTCAGCTCAACATTCATGTTCGACAGGCAGAACAGGCAAACTCTACACAGGAAGGCAGCAGTCAAGACTTGAAACCCCAAACCTCAGACCTGTGAAGTAGACATGCTAACCACAAGGGCGCCGAGATGCCCACAGAATTTACAACTCAAAACAAGTCTTTGAATTTGTTGGTTCCTTTATCTCAGACAGGTTTTTTTAAGGTTATTTACCTGACATGTTCCAACGGAAGTCTGAGATAAAGGAACCAACAAGTTCAATTAGAAGTAAGAGATAGAATTAGCTTATTTTAAGTTAAAGAAGAGTCTTGTTCATGTTGGAAACAAACCTGGTCTCCATCCCTCAGCTTTAGAATGCACTCCATGGTATTGATGGTGATGACGACAGGCTCAGAGCCCAGCTTGGTCCAGGGAACGTGAATACGCAGCTCATGGATATGACCACTCATGAATGTAAAAGGAAGCTTCAATTCCTACAAATGACAAACAAAATACAGTCGCTTTATAAAATGGGTGTACTTTTACTTTTTGTTGAATCAATATCAGAACATTTACATCAATGTTGAATCAAATCACAACCTGAAAAATGTCAACCGTATTGAATTTCAACCGAGATAGGATTATTTCACTACTCAAACATTAACACTGTTAGTAAGGCCGTGATACGAAAACACGGTTATTCACAACACTGTTGCTGGAAAACAAAATGTGAACAGACTGAGAACAATATAGGACTAAACTGTGGGGATAGAGTATTCAAGTGTTCTACACCGGCGGTCCCCAACCGCCGGGCCATGGACCGGTAACGGTCCGTGGATCATTTGGTACCGGGCCGCACATTAAGAATAACAACTTTACTTTCGTTTTATTCATTTTGGAACCTGAAAGATGTTTTATTTTGAAAAATTACCGGATTCTCTGTTACATCCGTCTATAGTATGTCACTCTTGACACAGGTCAAGGCAAGCTTCACGATCACGTGATAGGTGACCGCTAAAATGAAACCCAGGAGCTACCAACATTAGTAAAAAACAAACATCTTTGGAAAGTTTCTTTGGGAAGGGGAAAAGGCCCAGGCAGGAGACAGAAAAGGAGCCAACGACTTTCAAGAAAAAGAAGGCTACATTTAATAGACAGTATCAGAAGACCTATTTGGATTTATCTCAACGGGAGATTCCCACGCACCAAGCCCACTCTACATAATGTGCGACGATGGTGAGTCATATTTTTCATGCACTTTGTATTTGTAGTGGATCTTATTTTGAAAGCACGTTTAAACATTACCATAGCGACCAGAGAGTGTTGCGACCAGATAGGACATTTCGTGTTTATTATTATGTTTGAAAAATACAACAGTTATCATGCAGGTCATACCATATTATTTTGTTGTATTTATCCGGCCTTAAAGGTCGGTCCCTGAAAATTTTGACGGACATTAAACCGGTCCATGGGGCAAAAAAGGTTGTTCTTAACCATTTGAGTTTTGTTTCTTCACCCCTGTCCAAAACAGGGCCCAGTGACGCACTTGGGCCTCCTTCATTCACATCAGCCGTTATCGGGCACCACTGCTATGTGAGTTTAGCCTACACCTCTAAAATGCAGTTACAACTTCGGATAGTCCGCTGTCATGTCTACTTTAGAATGCCTCACTGCCAGCCATAAATATGTGCACGTCATGGTGAGAAAGACAAAAGCACCAGGGGGGAGTAAAAAAAAAAAAAAAACAATTTTTTTTGAAAAGTCCAACTGTAAAGGCCATCATGTGGACTGAGTCTTTGTTTTAGCCTGGCCACTTCAGAGTGCCTCGTTGCAGCGTGGAAAGAACATGTGACGTCAAAATGGGACAAGTTCCAGCCTGTGGAGGGAGACGTCAACTAGATATTTAATCACAGCTCGAACATGGAGTTATGCAAATGCATAAGAAAGATGCTAGATGAAGAAATCAATTTTCCGGTGATAGCAGTGGCATTCAGCCGCCACACCCACAGTGTCCAAGAACAAAGACAGAGGCGTGATATTACATAATTTTGAAACCTAATTTTATATTCTGACCAATGTTTTTTAAATCATTCAAACATACCACGTTTGTAACAATATTCTTCTTTGTGGTGACATTTATTTTCACTTCAACAGGACTCAAATGAAATAACTACCATTCCAATACATCTAGGCTTCAGAGTGTAGAATGACAAAAGGTTCAAGACAGCAGAGGTCACATACTACAAAAAGTACCTGTTCAAGCACATCCAGCTTCAGGTCCAACTTGCTGAGCACGACATCTCCTCCCCAGAGAGACAGCTGCAAGTCAGATGGCTTCAGATTCTTTATGTACTTGTTTACATAGCTCATCAGGAGAGGTGTGACATAGGACTCCAACATCTTGTCCCTCTTCTATAAACCAGTTGTGAAAGAAAGCAAAATACTGTTATTTGATGTATTGTTCCTTTCGAATTTTGCCTGTTTTTAATACAAAAGCTAAGTGGTAATAATTATTCACAAATTGATCACAAGGGCAGAGTCGTGCATTTCACAGTTTAGCTATCATGTAACTGCGATATTGCCGTCAGTACTGATGACTGAAATCAACCGATGTAATGATAAAGTTCGCTCAATTGTGGAAGCTGTTTTCAAGGGGCTCTGTGAATGTTATCGGCGATATTTTCTTGCAATGTATCGCTAACAAATACGGCACTGTTCAAACTTAAATGAATTAAAAGTTCCATTATGTGTGTGCACACCGGTCCAACGACTTCGCGTGCATGCATGACAGCATGATACGTTGATATTTAGACAAAGTAGGGACAGAAAGGGTAGTCCCTTGGCAAAGGTTGTCATTACTATGAATTTGACTATTTTTTATACCTGATTATGACCATTTAGTACCGGTGTTAGCTTGTTTGCAAACATACATTCACACTTTGCACATAAGACTGGAGTGAAACAGTTAAAAGATAGCCACCGGTGCGTTTTACTTGCGCACAGGCGTGTGCAACTGCATTTTTATCCCCACTTGATACAGTAGGGTCAGACAGAAAACTTACTTGGGTGTGTGTTTAGCCTAGCTATGAACTGTCACCATTGGAAGCATCCAGCTCGCCTGCTGCGAGACAGAGTAGCTAAGCTAAAGCTCCGAAGAAGTCCTCGTAACTTCGTCTCCACGAAGCTAAACAGCAGACACGCCTGACAAAAACATGCTCTCACGCGACTCAATCTGCGATTCTGTGGCTATTGAATTTGTATTTACAGTGACGATTTCATTGCATTGTCAGACGCAAGCTGCAGTTATCTACAGCTCCAGAGTCAGCGTCACCGGTAAACACCATTACGACTTCCGCATGTCTGGTGTGGCCTTTAAGTCTGCTGGTAAAACTGAGTTTCTGCCACTTTGCTCGCGGCTGCATTTCGTTGAAATGACTTTTCATGATACAATACACTGTACTGAATGTCCAACAGTGAGTTTCCATTTAGACCTGAATGAATGAACCTACCTACCAAGCAAATTATTGGGGATGTAAGAGTTATTCATCCAACTGGGTTATACATAATACGTCAGCAACCGGTTTTGCTTTTTTATAATGGGCGTTTCGACACTTTCGCGATTAAATTGAATATTCAAGAAGGGAGGCGTAATTTTACCTAATAGATTAAGATTTTCCACTCTGGCCATATTAGAAGCACACATCTGCCAAACTAGGGCGGTGAGAAAGGACGTCATACACACAATACGCGCATCTCTCTTCAGGTATTTTGATAATATTATCTTCCTATCCAGTTGTAGTTGTCCCGTCGCTTATTTAGGTCGCAGATTCCTTGGTCAGCACAAACTACATTAAAACACCGTGGACTTTTTGCGTAATTGATGTCTGATGTATTTCTCTACCTTTGAGTGTGCACAAATCAGCGCAAGATAGTCATGTTTCTGTCGGATGATATAGATACAGCTTTGAATAATGCAAATTATCTTGCCTATTTATATAAGCAATGGGAAAGCCCAAATTTGTAGCTATTCTTGCTGGAATAATTTTCCCGAACGTGCAGTGATTAACTCTGTTTTGAGGTTGTAAATATGACAGTTGTTCATCAACTAGAACATGGCTTTGGAAGTCCATTTCTCAAAATTAAGTTTTACAGGATACATATATTTTTGCTTTGCTTTACTATCTTTTTTGGTCTATATATGTAGAATGAAACACGTTGAAACAGAAATTGGTCTCAAATAGTATTGTTTTTATGGGTATTTGAGAGGTGGTGCACGAAAGGAAAATGGTTCATTTGAATAATATGTGAAAGTCTATCTTTATATACTGAAACCCTTCGTATCATATAT